TAAATTCATTGATAATTTTTGACAGATCCTTTAAAGCTGTGTGTGCAATATTTTTTTCAATGGCTCATTTTCTTATATTTTCTCGAAATTTTTCTTTTTTATCATAATTTCTACATATACTGTCACTGTCTGAACTTGCAGAACAGTTAGATCTATCTGACCATATATACTCATTGTCATCACTGCACAATACGTTACTACTATCTTTTAACATTCGCTGTATACTTGAAGAGTTTTGTACATCCAAATCAGCACGTGCTTTTACACCAACATTTTCGGATACGGAACCCTCTCGTTCTAAAATTTCATTCACACTTGGACCATTATTTACAAACCGTGTAGCCTGTTCAATGTTCACTGCATAATCTGTATTTCTGTTCAGAATCCTCAAATATTCTGCATTAATTTTTCGGCGTATTCCGCCAGTCCTTTTTTTATTTTTCCACATATCACAAATTCACAATATCGTAAACGACGCAATTAATATATTTATACCTACGAAGTGCTGAATAATGAAGTCTTCAAGGTCTTATTTAACGGCACTAGTAGATTAATTGTCAACGATAGTACAAGTATTCAGCTCTCACGCAGATTAAAGGTAACATGTAAGCTAATATAGAGCAGTTTGCTTTAACTTAGCATTATATAATGTTCACCCATAGTGATCATGTGGCCTTTATAAGAGCTATTATACGATTGCGTGTATCAAGCTGATTAACATTACACAAATTCCACTGTGTGCAGCAAAAGGCATTATATCTTTATTATTTGAAGCCACAGAATAACTGATTACATTATAGTAGCTCACGTGTTCTTTATTCAAATGCAAGTGGTCTAAGGGTACACTTGTGGTCTTCAGTTCAGAATATAGTTTAGTTAAAGTCCACAAAAATCCTTTAAATTGCTTAAAGCTGTACAATACTGGACTTGTTACCCATATTAACGATGCAAGCGTTACAGTGTGGTTTCCGTGACACATAATAACGTTCTTATTCAGGCAAAAGCTCACTTTTCACCTCTTGCAGGTCGAGTGTACTGTAATAACTCTTCATAAGTGCTTAAGTTACCGATGTTACCTCTTGTGACATCTTATAATGAAGTTTTGTGCTACTTGGGCAGTAGCTACCTCGTGTTTGGACTTAATTTATTTATATTGTTAAGAACTTTCCCTCTTCTAGAGAGATGATCTGTGTCCCAGTAGTGGGAAAATTAAAATGGCTGATAATGATGATGATGATGAGAACTTACCCATTTCTTGGGATCTATATTTTATAATAGAGCGGCTCCTTTCGTAGGTCTACACATAGCTACTTAAAAATATATACTATTCAATATTTTAATTTATATTTAAAATGTTACTGTAGTTTACAGAAGAACTTGCAACAGACACTACAAAGTAAAAAATAAAAAAAAAACTACGTTTAAAAAAACCGACTTCAAAAACAAAAAAGTGTCAAATTAGTAATTAAAATTGATATTTTAATACCACTCTTACGTACGCGAAGCTAATACTTTTAATATTAATAATAAAACACTATCAATTCTATGTGCTACCTATTTATAGGTTTGAAGTCGGTGCCAAGCCCTAAACAGAATAAAACTAAATGAGAATTCAAACTGTTTAACTGCTAAAAGACGAAATTTCCACAACCAACAACGAAGCTACCTACTACTACTTTTAACATCCAAGTACGAGAAAACTTTCAGAATTCATAATTTATCCAAATATCTTTCTAAGCTATATACAGTTTCGCCGGTAACGAAACCATATAGACTTCTGATTCTACGCTAACGCCATCAAGTTAGAAAATCTTTACTAAATTTCTTAAATCCTAACAAATAAATTCACACGCGCCCGGCGAGTGTAGGTACTCATGTATCATGCTTATTTATTATATTATGTATTAGGCTTGGCACCGACTTTAAACCTATGAATAGGTAGCACATAGAATTGATAGTGTTTTATTATTAATATTAAACGTATAGCTTCGCGTACGTAAGAGTGCTATTAAAATATCAATTTTAATTACTTATTTGACACTTTTTTGTTTTTGAAGTCGGTTTTTTTAAACGTAGTTTTTTTTTAAGTTTAGCAATACTTGGAGTTGGTCGAAATTTTTGTTCACGCTTCGAATATATAAATGCAGTATATTTATATTATTGCTGGCTATGTTGATGTACTTAGGACAGTCTTCAGGGTCACAGTTGAAAGAGTTACCGGAATTTAAATGGTCTAAGTCATTATTAATGTTGTTTATGGCAGCCATTTGTAGTAGTACGTATCATACATATAGATAATCGAAATATACCACTTCAGCATGTCACAGTGTTTTACAGTTTTGGGAGTGTTGCATCGCATACTTTTATACATTATGTTGTGTGAGGATATGCGATTGTGTGTTAAGACGTCTTTGTATTGAGTGATTTGTATGTTGAGTATCATAGTATAGTGTGTTGTGTTTGTTGACTGTGTAAAGTACATGTGAGTATTATTAATATAAAGTACAAAATAAAATAAAATAAAATAATTCTTACATGAAACAGAGATCAGAAATAGGACGTGCAGTTTAGCTAGTCAGATATTACAGTTGCTCAGATCATGAAGACATTTTTCAGTCTGTATTAGTAGCTGCTTATCCCCTTCCCGCTTACGGAGGAATATGTTTCCATTACTTATCCAGCAGTATGAGTAATTGTTGTTTTTAGCAAATTGACGTGCTAAGAAATAAAGCTTCTTAGAACTGGAAGGAATCTGCTCCGCTACAAAAACAGGTATGCGTTTCCCTGGTATACCAATAGATTCAGTGTTCAATTTTTCTTCCTTTGGGTGCTTATTCTTATTATACAGACGAAGTGCTGATAGAAGGTTAAGCTTAGTTTAAACTTTAGTAAACTCCGCTATGATTGGACGTGAACTAGAAGGTGGAGTGGCTTTCCCAGGGACTCGATAAACATCTCGTATCTCTGCTTCGGATATAGGTACTCCAACGAGTTGTCCGATTTTACAGACAGTGTTCACCAGGGTGATTGGTGCCTCCTTCTCTGGCTGTGGGATGTTCTTAACTTCTATGCTCGATGATCTAGACTTATGCTGAAGGTCGGTGATTTTTTTTTCCAGCATTTCGATATAGCCTCGTTGCTGCTGACGCTCCTTTTTTAAGTCTTCTACCTCTTTCCTTAGTTCTTCAAATTTTTCATTCATGAAAGACATCGCCTGTTCAATTTGAGCACTTGGTTTACGGATTTCGCTGTTAGAATCCTGAATTTTACGGTTTTGTGCTTTAATTTCCCCAATGTCTGCTACTAATTTAGCCATCATGGAAGTTTGTTCCTCTAGCATTTTAGACATATGAAATCAGAATATCTTGCCGTGATTTAATTCAATAGCTACTTATCTTGAAATATGGCCCGAAGCTACGTGTTACAATAGAGATAAAGAAAAAAAACCACAAAATCCGAAATTACATTAGGTCCATCTTCTTTTAATCATTCCATTTTTTAGGTACCTACCTACCTACAAATGTACCTACTACCATTGACGTAAGTATACATGGACGAAGTAAATAAAAAAATCAAACAATGAAGTCTTTAAAGTTTGTAACATTGTTACAGTGTGCTTCAGCAGGAATGGGTCGGCAATCGGCACGACAGAAGTGATACTACTGCTTCACAGAAAACCACAAAGTACATTTTATATTGAAAACCGGCGCGAAACCAGTGTGATATCACGCCGGTTTTCTGTCTATTTTTTGTGAGGGGAATAATATCATCAAATGTCGTCTCCTTCTGCTCCAGGCCGACTGCCACCGTTGGCAGTCACGTCAGTACTTATATTCATCTATGACCACACTGGCGTTGTGTTTCGCTGTGCGAATGAGGTTACTAAAGGCCAAGTCCTAGACGCATTGACCCCTTCCGTTATCAAATTTCAAAAACCTATCCCTCAAAATCACGGGCTCCAATGCACTTGTCACCTCTGGATGCTGTCCATAGGTGGCGCCGGTTGTTTACCATCAAGCAATCCGTCTGATCGTCTTTTAATAAAAACATAGTTTCTTAAATCTGGGCCAGCTAAATATTAACAAGCCGTTTGGGTCCCACACTGCTGTTGTAAGATAGGTAATAAAGTATGTACCTAAGTTATAAAGTTTAATATAAATTTGAACCTTACGGGCCCTTCAGCGAGGCGGTCATTTAGCGTATGCATTTAGCGTAGCGATGTTGTTGCTGTCTTTTTCAAGACAATCGTTATCTCGTGTCTTGATAACGGAGAGTCAAAAGCGTTGGTAACTGGTGTTGTGGAAGGTATAAATTATGGTAATTGGTGTTGTGGTATCGTAAGGTATTCGATGGTATTGGTAAGGTATATGGTACTGGTAGGTATATAGACATGTGGTGAGGGTACTGTAATCATAACATCGCTATTTGGAACATCTCTTCACAGAAAGTCGACGTGAATCAACACTTACGTTGTGTTTCGCCGTGTAAATGAGGTTACCGGAGGCCCAACCCTTTTCCCATCCTCAATTCTCAAATTCCTTACCCATAATCTATACTAATATTATAAATGCGAAAGTAACTTTGTCTCTCTGTCTGTCTTTTCTTTACTCCTAAACTTCTGAACCGATTTCTGTGTTTGGTACAGTCATAGGTAGTTGGGAACTCGAGAAAGGACATGGGATAGTTTTTTACTAAAAATCTGCAGGAAGTCTCTATTCCACGCGAACGGAGTCGCGGGTAAAAGCTAGTCTCTAATAACCTACAAGGAGCCGGCAACGTACTCGTAGTAACTTTTTGATAATACGAGCATCCATGGACGCCGTGGGCGTTGCTGATTGCTTACCATCAGGTTATCTGTCTGGTCGTTTGCCGATCTCACATAAACGTCATAAAGGAAAACTTGTAAGTATAATAAATAAACAATAATTTCATTGCTTCAATACACTAATTTATTAGAGCCAGATTAGTCGTGACGTAGTTCTAATTTTATGAGAAATGTATTAGCGAATTTCATTTTGTTGGACAAATTTTGGGGCAAAGGTGGGCAAAGTTGTACAGTCATCGCAGTTACAAGGTGGACAAATCGTTGAGACGGTGCCCGTTTCTGTAGTATGCTTTTGTGTTTTTCGCTGTAAAAATAAAATGAGGATAGTTAGCTAAAGTTATTCTTATATTGTGAGGAGAAATCATCTTAAATATATTCTCCTCTCTCCCAGGGTGGGGCGAGAGGTAGCGTCAGACTCTTACTGACTAAAATCCCCTGTTCCATGCCGAGACCATATTGCCACGCAACCCCAGCTCAAGTTATACTGGATTCACCTGATTTATTGCAAAACTCATGCTCGTTTCAGTAGAGAAGGCCACTAAGAAGGCCTTCCTGCCATTATTCTGGACCTATCTGGAAGAAGCGCGGTCCGACGGCCTTGAATACACATGCCCTCGGATTGATGAAGCACTACCTCGAGTCCCAGCTGCCGGATACTTTTTAGAAGAGTGAAGAAAACTATTTGTAAGGGAAATATCATCAAGTTTCTACTCTCTGTCTGGGTTGGCCGAAACAGAGATTCAGAAGCTTAGGTGAAGTCTGGAACAGCCACCTGGTTCCATCTCCTGCTCCAGGTCGGGACTATACGGTACAATATGACGCTTGCACTCTTAACCCTGGCCGGAAAATCGGCAATGTTTTACTAAGTAATTTTTACTTTATGCTTCAGTCGGATTTCAAAGATAACTTAAGCACCTCAGACGGGACCCTACTAGGATTGATCTTTAGCCGGGATTGCGGGGCGAGCGCAAAAAGCCTAGAGCAGGAAAAAGAACGGGGGATTTTTAGTCAGTAGGTAAGAGTCTGACACTCCCTCTCGCCGTATCCTGAGCGGGAGAAGTCATTTGATGATTCTCCCCTCACAAAAATGAGACTATAATGAGCTTATAAAAACAGTTCTTACAGTCTTGATGTTCTTGAAGTGTATGTTACCGATGAGTTTGAATAAAGGCAACGGGCCCCGAGTTAAACACAGGCACTGCAATGTTAGATAACAGATTAAAAGAGAAATCAATTATTCATTAGAGGTTTCCTCAGTATTTAATTAACGTGATTAAGTAAAATAAATAAATAAATCGTTTATTTCTCACCACAAACCAAGTAAAAACAGAATAAAATATAAATGTATGCTAATAAGCTATAAATGTATGCCAATAAGGTACAAGTCGTTCTTTTCAATAACAAAAACATGGTAACAGATACACAGATAATATAATCACACAAGACGTTTTCTTCAAAGTTTAAGGAAGTAACTTGGGAATGTACAATTAGTTAATACTTAGTTACTTATAATAGGTACATACAGAATATATCAATGTTTAAGTACAACCTTCAATCTTCGTATACGTTAATCTGACCCTGTCCCTATTTTTTTTTACAAAATACTAGCTGACCTGGCAACTTCATACCGCATGACATAAAACTAAGATTTTTTTAATTCAATTTTTTTCTGCCTATTTCGAGACCACGATAAGCCACCTCCGTCCAACCTTTCTCCAGTTGTAGCGAGACTAGAAATTCATTTTTATTTAAAAAAAGATCTCATTGAATACGCAGCAAAATTTAGTCCCTTATACTTACGTTTACCTAAAGAAAACAGGTTAGAAATATGTATTAGCATATTTTTAAATATGTATTGTGTGATATGATTATGACTACATATCTACTTGGTACATATATTTGTACTCGTAACAGATATTATTGAATATTATACTCACTTTCTGTAAGCAATATAAGTCGTAAATTAATAAAATTCACCGTGAAATATTTGTCAAAAAATGTGCAATTAATAAAATTATTTAAGTAATATAAAATATAATACCGTTGCTGGCTGAAGAAAAAAAATACACGAATGAAAAATAGTTCAGTATTAAAAATAAGTATTGATAGGTACACAAATGAGAAAAGTTTGCTGAGGCTGAGGCGAATTAAACAATAAAAAAAGAACATAATCGACCTTATTACAAAACCTCAGAATACACTGTATTCTGAGTACAAAACAAGGCATTTCTTTCTTTAGTCTTGGTCTATACCATTGAACCAGTTTTTGTATTTCGAATTGAAGTTAGTTGAGAATAATATTCAAAATAATTAAATAAAACCTGATACAATGGTTTTCTTTTCAGTGAAAAATCATCAAATGACCTCTAAATTGACTAAAAACCTCCGTTCCTTCTCCAGTTCTGGGCCGAAGCCGCGGTGACTCATTACGCTTACCAAGCTACCCCTTGTGACACAATGGTTGAACTTTAAACCTAGACTAAAGATATATCTTATTTTGTAATAGGGGGTTATCAATTTATCATGGGTTTATATAGGGGAAAAATGTTTTCGCATTTAGTAAAATACCGCCAACGTATCTTGGCGAGTCTGAAGTTAGCCGATTAGCTGCGCAGTACACAATTTTGTTCCTAACAGATCCATTGCGCAGACAAACGGCTAACTTCAGACTCGCCAAGATACGGCGGCCGTTCTGTAGGTACCTATACCTATGAAGTATAGTACCTACAGCATGTTTTTTTTTATTTGTACAAGTAAAATTTATTTATATTATTACTTCCTTCGGTGAATTTTAGGACAAATGACTCACCATAGTCTGTAATCAAATTAGGGATGGATCAAAATAATTCAGCGGTGGGCCTTATATGTACATGTTGTAACATCTCTTATTAGTCATAATAACTAGTAAACCACTAGAACTGTTGTCATTATCTACCAGGTGTTATTATTTAAGTGTGGGAGAGCCTAGCATCGGCACGAATGGGTCGGCTCGACCGGAGTGATACCATGACCTCACAGCATACTGGCGTGAAACAAACCACAGCGTTGTGTTTAGCCGTGTGAGTGAGGTTACCGGAGGCCCAATCCCTTCCCTTCCCCTATCCCTTTCCGATCCTTATATTCGCAACCCCTATCCCCAAAAGGCCGGCAACGGAGTCGTAACGCCTTTGGTGTTGCGGGTGTCCATGGGCGGCGCCGAATGCTTACCATCAGGTAATCCGTCTGCTCGTTTGCCGACTTATACCATAAAAAAGAAAAAATATATATTTTTAGATTTACTTTAAATAAGATGGTCGAGATTAATGTCGACCATTGACAATGTAACTCTGATGCAGTGAGCTGCCCGACTGTGTACTGTGATAATAAAGTCAAAGTAATCAAGATCCAAGTCTTTTATTGTGTCGTGGTGGCTCGGAGGTTAAGAAGCCCGCTTTTCATGGAAAGGGTGCGGGTTCGAAACCTGGCAAGTACCAATGCGACTTTTTCCGAGTCATATATACTTTCTATGATTACATGTATAGACACCACTGACCTACGGTGAAGGAAAACATCGTGAGGAAACCTGGACTTATAATTTCTAATTATAAGTTTAAAATCGCCAATCCGCCTTGAGCAAGCGTGGTGATAAATGCTTAAACCTTTTCCGTGTCAGAGGCCTTTGCTTAGCAGTGGGTACTTATAGGCTGATGACGATGACGAAGTCTTTTATTCATATTAGGTACATTACATAATTTACACTTGTTGTAGAGCTACTTATTTAGAAAAAATACTTACGTAATGCTAGAATTTAATAATTGTAGTTAGTAATCAAGTTTTACACATTGGAGATAGCTGTTTCTGCACGAATGGTCCACTTGAAAACCGGCGTGAAACAACAACAAGCTTGAGTTGTGTGAGTGAGGTTATCAGAGACCCAATTCCCTGCCCATTTAAATTCAAATTTTCCAAATTCGAAATCGTGAAACTCCACTTATTAACTTTTTGTGTTGTACCTATATGAATATCAATGACTTTATTGTATACAATATGATTTGAATTAATTGTATGTTGCAAGCCGCCATACTAAAAGAACGCGCTTATGTTCTACTAGGCACCAATGATTAGGTCTTCAAAGTAAGAAACCTCCTTACAATACGTGCCGTCGTGTCGGAGAACTGCCTTCTGTATCAGGCCCTCAGGAAGTTGTCGAAGCTTTTGAGGCTCAATCCTTTAACCGACACAGCTATTGGCACAATGATAGCCGAGTCTACCCTTCATTGTTATGTTAACAGCAACCTCGTCAGCTTGTGTCTAGATATTTTATTACTATTCACCAGTAGATATTAACAATTAGAAATATGATTAATACATACCGTCAACTTTTGTGGTCACAGCGATTGCGTTTGTAATGAAAAAGAGAAAAGAAATACGAATATATTAAAAATAATTGAAAAACTAAATTTTAAAAACATAAAGCGTTCTAAATTAAAAACAGTTTATTTACCCATTTCTGAAAATAATATTGGTTCAGTAAATCATTAAATGGAATATAGTTGCAGACTATACTAGGTATTATTATTTACTGACTAAACTTTTCATATTTGTTATGTACATAATTATGAAGCTATTTATGCCATACATAAAACTATGTAGGTAGGTATAAATTATTAGGGACATTGATCCTGATTATTATATTTTCTGAATATGTAGAAAACTAGATTTGGATTAATATTATTGGCGTTGTAGCAAAGTACATATATTTATGGGGTTGTCAAGCTTTAGCCAAGGCAAGCTTATTGGTTTAAGGCACTTAAAAAAAACGAAAACAGCATACTAAATAAGTATACGTATTTCAATCAATTGAAGTACATAGTGAAAGCTCTGCAATATCTAAATAATTTTAAACATAGAATAGTAAATTGAAATATTCAGTTGTAAATCTGTGATAAATATCAGAAGGAGGATAATTATATATTATTTCTTTTCTAAAACTGACTGATATACCAGACACATACCTGGCTCTATAAACAAAAAAAAAAACATTATAATATTTTTTTAGTACTTAAATATTTTTAAATATTGAACGGATGGTCACGTGTTTGACGATCAGCACCGTGATTGGCCGGCTATAAGTGAACTAACCAATCAGAGGGCTAAATGCGTTACCCAAGGATTCGAAAAAATGATTTGCATTTAGCTTTAACCTGATGTTCCAAATACGAGACTTAAATATAGAATACTTAGATATTTTATAAAAAAATTAAAAACGGTTCCAGGGATGATATTTAATATTATTTGTTAGTAAAAATAAAACATATTAATCACTTACAGCAATTCGCTGGAAATCAATTTGGGTTCATTAATTTATATACTTATTCATCTCGTAGACGTTAAAACGCCTTCTCGTGCGAGTTTCAAACCTTGCAAGTACCAATGTGACTTTTTTCGAGTTATTGTAATATGTAACTCACTTGGACTTTCTAATTATAAGTTTTAATTCCGTCTTAAGCAAGCGTGGTGATTGATTGATGATACTTAGGTATTCCTTCTTTGTGTAGAAACGTTTGCTTAGCTTAAATGTGGCCGTTTATGCATAAGCTGATGATGGTTAATATTAAATAGGTTTATCACACATTTAGATTGATCTTTTCATCTCATAAGTCTTGACTGAGGGAAAATGGTTCATCGAAAATAATTAAGTAGGATAAATTGTCGGGGTTGCAGAGCAAGAGAAGGAACGGGAAGTAAGGGGGAGTTCTTAGTCACTAAGAGTCTGACACTCCCTCCCTGGATAAATTATAACCACTTACCACGGTCTGCAATTAAAGTATCCTTTGTTAGTAGGTACCGTATTAAGTAAAATCAAGTCTCAACGCTCATACTTCTTTGCTAGATCAAAAATTAGAAAGTATATAAAAAAACATCCTGGTTTTGTGCGTTTTCAGGATAGAAAAGGCTACCTATGTACATCTTATGTCAGGATAAAAAGAAGCTACGACGCGAGCTACGTGTTATTTCAGACTATCTATCCCTGTTCCAAATTTCATACGAAATCGTTCAGTAATTTTTGTGTTGAAGAGTTACAAACATACATTCAACCATTCATATTTTCACATTTATATGTTTCGTAGAATAAGTAGGATTCAAAATTAACTCAATTCAATATTATAAGTACTTATACTTATATTATAGGTACTAATTCTCCCCTTAAACCCCCACTTATCAAATTTCAGCGAAAGCGTTAGGGCCGTTTAAGAGATCGCATGCTTTTTCAAGCAATCCGCGCCATCTGCCGGGCGGATTTGTGAATCTAACCATACAGTACGCCACTCAAACGCATACAGAAAAATTCATTTGAATCGGCCAAGCCGTTTAGGAGCACTTCAATGACATTCACACGTACAACAGAATTATATAATTATATAAAGATCTCATCAAAAGATCCAATGTGACTGAGTACTTACGCCTTTCTGCAATTTGTAATAATAAGGAAGCTATTTATTATATTTTAATTAATTAACGATTCTATTTAATTTAACAATTTTAATCTAAATGTGATGGGACATCAGCTGGCAATTATACCTGTATGCACTATAAAAGTGCACCCAAGGACAAAAAGGAAAGAAAAGAAGAAGGAAGCTATTTATTATCTTTTAATTTATTAACGATTCTATTATTTTCTAGTTGATATAGGTTCGGGTAACAAATGACCCTTCAGTGTCCGTTGACACCGAGCCCACTATAATTGACCCAAATCGGTGTAACTCATATAAGCCAGGATCTAAAGTACCTAGATACAGCCATAAAAACACCGAAACACTGAAGTCCCTCGCATGTCTAAGAGCCAGTTTCCGAAAGGCTGATCAATGTTAAAATCCATTTAATCGCATGTCAAGTCATCTGATTGGTTGACTGAACTATCAACAACCAATCAGATGACTTGACAAGAGATTTAACAGTAGATTAGTTCATTTTAGCGTTGACAAGCCTTTCAGAAACCGGGTGTGAGACGTGAATTATTATCTTGGACCCCCAACGGAATAAATCAGTTCATTCAATAAGACAGTCAGTCATTTCATTCATTCAGTGAATTCAATATGAATGATATATTTTTTATAATCTATACTAATATTATAAAGGTAGGAGGTAAAATTTGTAAATTTGTCTGTAGGGGGTCTCTTATCTTTGGAACTGCTGGCTAACTAGCTGTGCCCCGTGATTCACTCGAGTATTTTATAGTCTATGTTCATGGATAGTGTAGCTCCCCAACAGTGTAGGTAAGATTTTATCATATCAAATTGGTCTAGTAGTTTCGGAGCCTTTTCAATTCTAACAAACAAACTTACAATACAAAACTTATAGTAGAGGTGGAATTTGTTATGGAATTTATTATTATACATTAGGAGGTGTGTGTTGCCTGAAGGCGTAAGAAGAACCGAATGAGGGCGAGATGCAAACAGATCTCAGTGAGGGTTAGCTGGCCATTTAAGGCACTTATAATAATAAGCGATAATAATATTTTACTCGGGCAGATTTTTCAATAGTCAGATAAATGGTGTCCCTTCGTCCAGCATACTCACCATGGAATCCTGATATTTCATGAATGTCAAAAAACTGTTCTGAAATAGTGCTAAATAGTGCCCAAAGGAAAAAAATAGTGCTCTTGTACTTGCGAAGTTATAGCCATAGTTCGATGAGTATGCTGGACGAAGGTTTCGCCCAGCATACTCACCTCCGTCCGGAGAATCTGTATACGCTTCAAACATAATTCATAATTCAAAAAATAGTTCCCAAATAGTGCCAAACGGTGCCCAAAAAGAAAAAACAGTGCTC